ATAGATAGATAGATAGATAGATAGATAGATAGATAGATAGATAGATAGATAGATAGATAGATAGATAGATAGATAGATAGATAGATAGATAGGTAGATAGATAGATGGATGGATGGATAGATAGATAGATAGATAGATAGATGGATAGATGTATAGATGTATAGATAGATAGATGGATAGATGGATAGATAGATAGATAGATAAAAAAGTTTACCCACACCTGGTCTACACTGTTCATTATAAAAGTTTGCCCACACCTGGTCTACACTGTTCATTAATACCTGTATACGATGATATCCCTGGGTCTTGATCCCTTTGAAGGGCACTTGAAGTTGAGTTTATATATTAACTGCTCCGTCTATAGCTCACCCTAATGACATCATCTTCACTCCCATAACATAGTGCAATAACACGAACAAAAGAAAATGGGATAAAACATTCACCATGTCATCAGCCAACTATAAAAACATACTGATTTATGTTCAGCACAGTCTTAAATGTAAATAAGTACAATAAGATTTAATTTTACTTCACGGTCTCACGCTCAGTATTTCCTGCCCTTTAATGTGACAATAAACAAACTGATGACTGTGTATTTTCTTCATCTCAGACTGAGCTACAGCAGAGAAAAGTATTTCATGTCTAATGAAGTCGATCCAACTGCCTTGTTAATTTATAATCATGGGAAATATTTAACAGCATGTGGGTAATTCTTCCTAATAAGGAATCATCCAGAGGATTAGTCTTTTCTTCCTTTGTTACCAACAATAGTTCTCTAATGAAATTCTAAGCTGTTTAGCACTGGTCAAAATGCTGAATTATTTTAGGATTGGTTTTAATTATTGTTAATCTTTAGAGAAAAACTCACTCTTTTGTTGTCGGCTTTGTCAAAAAATAAACTATAAACCATCTGCAATTGTACAATAATTATTATTATAATAATAAATAGTTTCACTGTTGTTTCAGTCCGGCTATAGGAATGGCAACACTAGCTTTTCAGATGTGCTTCATCAACAGTTGGAACATCAAAACATGCTGATATGAATCTTGAAATGTGTCCGTTCCAACAAATGGAGCCAGTAGCTGGCTGAACTTGAGTGAACCAAACAGATGATGTTGTTATTAATACATAATCACTCATGTAATTTCTGACTTAGCAGGCTCTCCTTTTAAAAGGTGCTCATTTCTTCTGTGTCTGATTGATTTTCAACAAAGTTAATTCAATTAAGTTGTATTTGTAAGATGTTTAGGTTGGCTGACCAGTCACATTGTCACTCATTAAACCATAGACCAGTGACTATCAATCATCAAACCATCCAAACAAGCCCATGACTGGATTCCAAAATTGTGATGCTCAAAAAGAAAATATCACGTGGTCCCCACTTTTGAAACGAAAGGGGGGAAAAAACAGCAACTGAGACTTTAATAGCGATCAGTAATCTTCAACATTTACTACAGAACAGATCACATATTCATCAAATTAGGGGTTGAAATGATTTATAATCATTCAGGAGTTGCAATGCATTGACCAAAAATATTATTTTTTCCACCCTTTGGTCCGTCTTTTAAAACGAATACATAACATGTTGACAGCAAAAGATGGCCCTACGTTTTCAACCTTGTGGCACTAACACCCGAGGAAGATCAAGGTGGAGGTGACATTTCATGAGTCGTGTTAAAGAAACCAACCTATTGGCTGCAAGTGGCTGCAATGCATAATTGAAGCTCATAGACGTGCTGAAGGATGGCACTGTATGAAAGACTCAGGTGTGAGGTGGAAATGACGACAAAAACAATCCGCCTTGCCAATGTCAAATGAGGAGCAGGTGCGAGATGAAACGCTTCTCGTAAAGCAAGGACGTAAATACAACACCCCGCCCATGTGGCCCACCGTCAGCACTGGGGGCCTGAGATTGTGAATTTTTGTGTAGTATTTGAAGAGATCTTTTTCAACCTTTGAGAATCTAAATACCTACAGAGGCTAATCTGTTGGATTTGTGCCTCGAACTCTTATTGACGCACACTGCTCTTCATATCACTGACTGGATGAACACCTGTTGATTACCTGGGCTGTTCATTATGATGAGCTGTGAAAAGCTGTAATCAGCCATTCTGTGAGCGATGCCACTACAGATCCTGTTTTCACCTTTCAGTGTAGCGTCATTCTGTCATAAATGAACAGGTGTGTGGAAAAAAAGGTTGTTTTTTTTTCTTTTTTTCTCCATCACCATGATAGTTGTTTTGAATCTATATCGGAAAATCTTTTAGGAAAGAGATGAAGCTGACTTTTGAATTCAAGTTAAAATAGTATTTTGAGGCATTCATGTTTTACATCATTTCCCCAGCCATAATTTAACTGGAGTAGTTTCTCTGAACTTTAAAAAAGCAAAGACATATTTAAGTGATATTACTTTTTGTTATTCAACTAACTTCACATTCAAAGCACTTCAAACAAACAGATTGGAATGAAATATTTTACTTAAAGATTACAGAAATTACCGAGTTACACATTTTTACTTCTGTGCTTTCAGACCATATTTTTGCCTATGCCTTGTCCAAGGCCCTGACAAAAGTTTCCTCGCCTGCAACAGTAGGACTCTACTCTTCCTGCCAAAATAGAATCAACATTATCCTGGGACAAATGCAAGGTATGTCATCAGCATCTGCACACAAACATTTGGACATTCCATTGTGGTTTTCAACTTTGGGGTCGCGACCCCACATTGGGATATGCATACATACAAATATGTGTGAAATACTTCATACCCTGTAGTTTTGATCGCTTGGAATAGAAAGAAAAAACAAAAACAAATCAAAGGTCAGACACCTAAATCAGGTCCCCGCCCACGAACCAACCAAAGTCCGGGCCGCAAATAAGTTAGGGTTAATGTAATCTGATCCTTGAGATGAAAGGTTCAACAGTGGCTCACAGCTGATTTGGTTTTGACATTTCTAGACTAAAAAAAATTTCCACAACCTCTAAAAACGACTTAATTTTCAGTTATGATGCGAGTTTACAGTCCTTCCACTACAGTCAGAGAGCAACTGCTAATGAATCCACCAACTGCAACAAAGAATATTTTATTCATGCTAAAGGGAAAATGTTTGAGTTACTGACATGCAGTGTACAGATCAGAAACTTTCAAACAGTTTGATCCACTTCTATCCAACCACCATTTTATGTCTGCCATATCTTAACATCTACTACTACTAGTCATGGTCCGACGTCGCACCTAAGTTTTTTTTAACATCTATTACTACTAGTCATGGTCCGACGTCGCACTATTGTTGAAGTGGGGCAATATTTGCAACTCACAGCTATGCTCGAGGCTGCACTGAGACCCCGCACCATCCCAGCCCCTCAAGTGTTTAATAAAAGACTTAAATCAAGCTATTATGTCAATACCAAAATATCAGGTATTTACATGCATTACATGTATTTACATGACAACCCTCATTGTTTTGTTTTTTTCTGATTAATCCTGATCATGGTGATTAATCACATTTAAGCTTGATTAATCTAAATAAATCAAAATTCCTATATATATATATATATGACAAAAAAACATTTCTGGAACAGCTAGACAAATAGCAGCAGGTGTATGTGTTTTTATTTGTCACTAATCTAAATAAATATAGATCGCATCATCAAGAGACATGCCACTACAAATAGTGAAATGGAAAGATTTAAGAAGTTTTAAGAAAGATGAAAAAGCGCGCGCCCTGTACAAGATGATGACAGGGAACTATGTTTAGCAGAACCATGGCGGACCTCATTTTGTACAAATTACAAAGGGTTGGTGTCATCTCAGATCAGTGACCCGATCTCTATTTCAACTTTATGATGAAATATGAAGAAATAATCAGACACTGGTAAGCACAGACAGATCAGCAGATCAAAGCTTACACAAGCAGAAATACCATTTGAAAAACTGCAACAATCACATTCAAGGCAAGACAAGAACATTTTGTCTGGGATCTTGTTTTAGATAGGTATACATTTTTAGTTTCGGAATCAATTTTAAACATTAAATCAATCTTTAGTAAACATTAGAAGAGAATGTGTGAAAGTGGATGAATTGTCGATCAGGGCAGGTTCACATAAGGATACAGGTGACAATGGTGAACAAATGGACAGAGAGAAGTGATTCTCCCACCCCTCCCTCCCAAAATGTTATTATTTAAACGTTAAATGTAGCAGTTTCTAGAAAGAAAAAAAACAATACCTTTAAAATATATAATATAAAAAAAATACAGATGGTCCAGAAATCAATCAGCCTAGAAAGACACGTCAACCCCCCTACTCATTGAGTTATAATGGCTACACATTGCTGCCCGCATCAAATTCAAGTTGTGTGCTTAATGGGTCTGCTCTTACCTACTTAAGGACTCTGATAAAGACTTACCTCACGATCTCTCCACTCGTCTAGGGAATGTCGTCTGGTAGTCCCAACACACCCGCACAAAGCAATCCAGGCTCTTTTCATGGGTCGTTCCTGAAGACCCAGGCATGTCCAAACTATTCCTCAAAGGGCCATGTGGCTGCAGGTGTTTGTTCCAACCAACCGAGAGCACATAGTTTGACCAATCAGCCGTCAGAAGACTGAGATCGGTTGATCAAACCTGTCAAACTCAGGTGTGCAACTGCTTGGTTGGAACAAAAACCTGGAGCCCTTTGTGGAACAGTTTGGGCAACCCACGCTCTACTCGTACCCTCTATGTCATTCACACTTGTTTCCTAACTACTGAGTTCCTCTATGTAACCTGATTGTTAAGCTTCCTTAAAAAGTATCTGCTAAATGCATAATTGTAAGTGTAAATGTAATAAGCTAAAAACACAAAAATGACTTTTTAATATCAATCTTTTTTTTTCACAGGCCAACAACCAAAATATATATATATATATATATGTGTGTGTGTGTGTGTGTGTGTGCTATACCATACCGCATAAACCGCTATTACTACAAATCCTGCCAGTATATATAGGCTAAAAACAGGCAGGCCAAATCGAGCACACATTTAATATGATCTTGCAAATCAGATATACTGCAATTACACTGTGGGCCAGATTTGGCCCCCGGGCCCTAGTTTGACACATGTGGTCTAAGCAGTGTGGCCCGGTTTATAGGGTAACAACAGGAGCTAAAAAACCAAACAAACACAAACCCACAACAACGTTCAACAATGTTTAAAACAGGCATTCTACATTCTGAGCAACCCCTAAGCATGAGAGCCAGCAGGTTTGCACAGTGCCCTCTAGTGGCAGGGAAGGCAATGACAGATATCAGAGAAATCTTTAAAGACAAGAAGTCTTGTGACAGTGGACAGACTTGAAACAACTGGAGTTTTATCAAAGGACTGAAATAGAAAAGACCAGGTTAGACGTTAGTTTATTTGTTGACTTTCACATCTTGTTGAAACGTAAATGGTTCAGGTTCTTTTTTTTTGAAAGATTTTTTTTTTTTGCCCAGTAATATTTATTTAGCAATTTCACACAGAAGACAAAACACTTTGGGCTTTCGCATCATTTTCTTTCCTCTAGTTTACATGGACAAAGAGTCTGCAAGAATTGAGGCCGCTCACAAAGGAAAGCCTGGATGGGTCAAACCTCGATCAGTCAAGCCTTCATTCATAGACTTCATTGTTCTCCTGGGATGCATGCTCTTCTACAGACCAACATGGACTAAGAAGAACCAGCAGAACCAAAACATTAGGTTCATCTATGTACATTTTAGTGCCTGGCATTTTGCAGGCAGCGATATGCTCTGGGCCGGGATCGTCATACGCCTGTTTCATGCCATGCAGTTGAACTTTGGGAAGTTACAGCTTGCTCTGTACCGTGTGGCTCAGTACGATGAAGAGGACGAAGTCAAGGCAAAAGAGGTTTGTGGATTGGCTGTTGGCTATTTAATGTTATCAAAAAAGTCAGGATAACTTCGAAAGAGTTGCCAGAAGTCACTTCTGGAGTCGTTCCAAAAGCAAGGTAAACGACACTGAACACATTATAGCAGCAGCTCCGACAACCATTTTGTATCAAAGACCAGTTGACCAATATGAGCAGTTACTGCCGACCGGTAATACTGTGCCATCACTAAACGATTTTTCTTAATATCAGAGTCTGAATGACCTGTTGTTTTGAAACATTGCCAGATTATCTTTGAATGAAAAAAGTAAAGGGATATGACAGGATTATTTTTGAATGAAGTAAATTAGTAAAACCGCAGTACATTTTTGTACTAAATGACCTACAGAATGGGGATTGGTGACCACTGCATTATAGAAACTAAAAAATAGTTCAATAAAACTCAAATAAAAAATCATAAATTCATAAGTCACATTTTACATTCATAATGTCCTAAACTGATGCTCCATTTAGTCCCAGCCTCAGCACCCAACTTACTATATCCTCTGATCCAAGCTCTAGACTTACCACTTTCTGCATATTAAAATTACATTACAGTTAACCTGACTAATTTATAACTTTTTTTTTTCTTGACTAAGATCTATTTTTGAACAAAGCATGAAGCAGATGTTATGTCTGTGTTTGCCTTGGCAGTGTTTATTAACCTGATTTTTTTCCATTTTTCTGTGCTTTGGTTTGCATGAATTTCAAGGTTGCGGTGAATGAAACCAACCTCTGGAGGTCCAAAAAGATTTGCTGCTTCCCTCTCTGGCTTGTCGTCCTGTGTATTCTTCTGGTACCAGTGGTCATATTGATTTTCATTTTGACATTTGGCCTTCCTAAACCTGAGCTAAAACCAGAAGAAGAGGTAACCAAGAAGGGTGTGGGTATGCTTGAGGGTCTGCTCATCGCTTCACTCGGAGTCCCTGCAGCGACCTCCCTCAGATTTACTTTTGGTATGGCCAAGAATCTGCTCAGTAGCCAGGACCGCAACATTACAAAGGGGATGGACAATCAGCGAGTTAGCAGTAAACTGGGCTTTATGAACGAGGTGAGGAAAGAAATGTGGTTCTTGTCTTCCTTTATCCATTTTATGGAAATATTTGAGAAAAGAAGGATAAGAGTGGTGCTGAATATCACAAACCTGGATCGCTGCAGCCCAAAGAAAATTGTTGGCGTCCTGGAAGCCATCGACATCCTTCTTTCAGATGAAGAGAGTCCATTTATATCCATTCTGGCAGTAAATCCATATGTTCTTGTTCAGAAAGTGAACTTTGCAGATGGTTGCTTCAGCCAAGAAGACAGAGCTTACGCTTTGTTGAACCGTATTGTTACTCTGGCCTTCACGGTCCCACCACTGTCCACTGATTCAAAGCAGAGTTTATTTTGCAACCTCAGTAGTAATTCAGAGCATAATGAAGATATGTGTAGTAGACACATTACAAACAAAACCATAGACCGTAAAGAGTCCTTGTCCTCGGATGCAACACAGGTCCTTGTTGAACTGGAAGAGTCGAGCGCACTGATGTATAAAACCACGGCAGCAGTGGATGTTTGTGATGATGAAGTAGAGATGCTGGTGAGGAACATCCTGACCAGCAGTGACCGAAAGCTGAACAAATACATGTCAGATGACAGCACGTCGATGAGGCGGGTGATCAACTCTGTCAGAGTGACAGTGGTCATCATGATGGCTATAGAAATGCAGCATCCTCAACCAGAGTTCATCGCAGCATGGGTTGTGTTAGCCAACCAGTGGCCCTGTCGGCTCAGCTGGATCATCCAGTGTGCAGAGGACAGTCAGCAAAGAGCAGAAATCGATGGCAAGACTGAGGCCAAATCTGATGGTTTAAAAACCCTATGGGAGGTTTTCAGCAAGTCAAGGGCAGAGCTGTATGTAATGAAGGAGCAGATCGAGGACCTTCTGGAGCAAGATGGAGATCCTGAGCTATTTGAAAGGTTCCTCGCTGTAGATTTCCAGTTCACTGTCAAGGACCTGAAGATATTTGAAGTACTGACTGTGAACTTGGACCATTCCATAAAGAAGGAACTGGCTCAGATCAGGGGGGCATCCAGGCTAAAAGACTCAGGCTGGATGAGAAATTTAGCTCCACTTCCAATTACCACAGTCATCAAAATGGATACAGAGGATGTGTGTAACGAGGTAAGAGATTTGGTTTGTTCTAGGTCTGCGTAACAGTTACTTTTCTTGTCATTGCTTCAGTATTAGTGCCTCCTTCATAAGTGATTAGGCTCTAACTCTGCCCCCCAAAATCTAAATTGGGCACGTTTTTCTCCGAAACACACAATTACCACGGATTGTGGCTGCATAATCTAAATTGGGCACGTTTTTCTCTGAAACACACACAAAGCTCTTTGACAATTACCACGGATTGTGGCTGCATAAGAGTGATACGACACTATTCCTCGTGCAGCCACATGAGGCACTGATTGTAATCGAAAATTACTTTGGTAAAGTTAGGGAGGCTGGAAACAGCTATTTTGTGTCCAATACCGATATCTGTATTGCAACTTGGAGTAACTGCCAATGCCGATTTTCTCGTCCAGCATGCCCTGGGCTGCCATTACTGAGGCGATAATATACCTATTTACGACATGTCACACAAAGTTGAGCATTTGGGTTTAGGTATCGGATGGACAGGCTATAGTTCTTTTTCTTATGTTCAATCCTGACATTCTGACCAATATTGTACAGATGCTGATCCTGAGTATCATATGAAGTTAGAATCTCTAGTTAGAATGCTCAATATTTCAAGATTTGTTCAATTCTAGAACCAAAAATAGAAATAATTGCTGTCATATCATAGATAGAAGCACCACCACAATCAATGATTTTTGGTTGTAATTATTATTTTCTGTTTATACCTAGTTGGAGAAGATGGAATTTCCCACCAAGTATATTGATAAAGTGAAGAGCAATGACCTTAATGGCATGGCACTGGTCTTTGGGAATTCCGATGACCTGAAGAAGCTCCTTAACATGACCTTTGGAGAATGGGCAACTTTCAGACTGCACTTCCTGACTTCACTTCCAAATCTCCGACCACAGTACAGGAACACGGCACCTTCAAACCAACATTTCAAATTTAAAGATCATGTTGGTCACCATCACTCCTCCAACCCCAGTCTGTTTCACAGTTCAAAGAAGTAATGAGTCAAGACCTCCTCCTCCTCCATTTTCATTTCAACTTAAATATACAGTAATATATTAGACAGGGACGTTTTTTTGTCCATTAATGACATCAGCATGTGTTCTTTTGTTCTATTGAACAGGTGTCAAACTAGTGTTGGCCCGCTCGTATATAGCCTCTGTATACTGGCAGAATTTGTAGCATTAGCGGTTTATGCGAATGTTATAGCACATACGTTTTTTGTTGTTGATTTATACTCAAAAGACACTCAAAAGGCTAGTGATCGCAAAACTCAATAATAAATAAATACTGCTTATGTGTTTTATTTCAAATTCAATTTTTTCTTTTGTTTTCTTTGGTTGTTACAGATTCAATGTTTACGCAAAACTAAAGTTTGTTTCCATATGAAGAAAAAAATCTATATTACATCTGAAGAGAAAATACACAATTGCCTCAAATTTTTCAGAAATATCGAGTTTGGTCCGCGACTTCGTCCCAGTTTTCAATGTTGTCCAACTGTGAATTAGAGTTTGACACCCCTGTTCTATTGTGTTTCACATGCACTATTATTTTGTAAGCTTTCTGTATGGTATAACACATAAAACTCTCTGTCACATGCCACCAGTTTATACATTATTCACAGGAACAAGTAATCTCATTTGATCCAAAGGGTTTTTTTTAGTGAAAATTGAATGGACAAGCTGCTAGACCAGACAAGAAACATCAGCACTAAAGAGGTAAACATATCATAGAATGGATTCTCCAAACTTCTCTTACTGACAACCCTTTATATTTTGATCTGAAAGTACATTTTTGTTAGCAGGAAGAGGCACTATCAAAAGATCCAACAAACACCATTGTAAATACAGACACTGATGTAACTGTAAAAACAATCACAGTGGTGTACAAAAGTTTTAGGCGGCTGTAGAAGGGAACCAGAAGCTGAATAGAAGTTCTCCGCACCCTGGGCCTTCTGAGGGCAAGTTTTCATTTACTACATGCAGTACAGAGTCAAATGTGGTTTTAAGCCCAATTGCTGGAACTTGGTGGTGGAGCCACGGCTATGTGGACTTGTGTAAGTGTGAGCTTCTGGTTCGCTACGTCCGTTTTTAATGGTTTGTGGAAAAAGCGTGCCTAAAACTTCTACACAGCACTCGATAATATATAGCATGTATTTAATTGCATAGTATTAAAAAAGGCTGTTGTATACATGTTCATGCACAAATTACATTCCAAGATGGCTTTTTTTATTTTATTATTAGTATTAGACTATAACTGTGAAGACAAACCAAGACGAGTTTCTGGATGGACTACTGAGGAATGTACAATTAAAGCAAACACAATAGTATGTTATGTTTGTTGTTGTTTTTAAATAATCATCAAGAACCCTTATAAAATTTCAGATTTTTTTTTTTTTTTGTGTAATTAAAGCTGCTCACTTGCGTCCCAAAGCCTCTGCCAGCTTCTTCAACCTTTTCTTCAGCTCCAGAGGAAACTTTTCATAACACTTTTTACAAACAGGCTTCATGTCAAACTCCACAAACTTGTTCCTGAAAAACAAAGGATGCATCAGGTAAAATGTTGATTATGTTGTTTAATGATTTACCTCCTGTATATATTAACCTTTTAAAGATAACCCTCCCACATGCATCATTTCGTGTCCAAGTATTATTATCACAGCAGGGGAAATGTATTTAAAATCATCTGCTCATTTTAAATTGTATTATAATTAGGCCTACATTTATCTTTTCCTCATCTGGATTCTTCACTGATCACTCTAACAGATTTGGCCTTTAAGTAAATTGGCAATTATTTACCATATTATATAAAAAAAAAAAACTTCATGGCCTCTGTGCATATACAGTACGGGGCAAAAGTTTAAGGCGGTTGTAAACAACTACCCTGGGTTTTTGGTGACATTTACATTAACCAATGTATGAGTGTAAACGCCCCAGCCTGTGAAAGAACCACAATCAATGTGTTTTTTTTCCAGAGGTTGGGGTGCATCTCCATGGCTCTACTAAAACACTCTCGCCATGACTGAACAAGAACTTAAATACCTATAAAAAATAAAATTAGATGCAAAATAATAGGGATTATAGGTAATGTAAACACTTGCCTAAAACGTGGATGCAGGAGCAAATAGACAAGAGTGACTGACAAACAAACAAACCAACAAACCAACAAACAAACAGGCAGAGGACACACCAAACAAACAGACTGAGTGGTGAGTTGGACAGAATATTAACTCTACAGGCACACAGAAATTTTTTTCTTCTGGTCTTTGGCATCGCGCTCACGTCTAGCCAGACGGCGCTTCAGCTCCTCGGGCATGCGCTCATAGCAGTGCTTGCACACCGGCTTCAGGTCGACTTCAACAAACTTATCTCTGAATTACCATAGACGCAGCAAGTGAAGCGTGTAAGAGGA